TCATTTACTGCCCTAGTACCAAAGGAGGAAAACAAGAGATTAAACATTGGAGAAAATGGTTGCAGTGGTGAGGGGAAGTTCAGACCCTTCATTTCTGGAGTTCAACAAACAAAGAGGTAAGTTTGTCATAATTTGCAAGTATACAATGTTCCTACGAGATCATCAACTCTTAATTCCTTTTTGCAGGATCAGAAGAAAGTGTAAGACATGTACATTAAGAGTTACTTTTTCTAAAGCCAGCTTTTCTGTTTATTCAGCTTTTCAGTTTCAGGTCCCTAAAACTTTTAAAATATTATTTATCAAGGGGTAATTGTTTTACTAATAGCTAGGAGTTTCAGACATGGGACTACCAGCCTGAGTGTTTACATCATTATACTCTTTTAGGAGCTGCTACCGGCCACCACTACAGGGGGCTGGAGGGAAGAAGGGAAGAAGCTCATCGTCTGCCTCTTGCCTCCCCTTGAGCTCCAAGTAGGAATGCCTGAGATCAGGGAGAGAATGATTCAAGCACAGCTCCTCTTTATCAGCAAAACCGGTCCACTGTGCAATGCTTTTTAGATAAACATGTCATGGTCTGGGGCTGCATGAGTGCTGCCGGCACTGGGGAGCTACAGTTCATTAAGGGGATCATGAATGCCAACATGTACTGTGACATACTGAACCAGAGCATGATCCCCTCCCTTCAGAGACTGGGCCACAGGGCAGTATTGCAACATGATAACAACCCCAAACACACCTCCAAGATGACCACTGCCTTGATAAAGAATCTGAGGGTAAAGGTGATGGACTGGCCAAGCATGTCTCCAGACCTAAACCATATTGAGCATCTGTGGGACATCCTCAAATGGAAGGTGGAGGAGCGGAAGGTCTCTAACATCCACCAGCTCCGTGATGTTGTCATGGAAAAGTGGAAGAGGACTCCAGTGGCAACCTGTGAAGCTCTGGTGAACTCCATGCCCTAGAGGGTTAAGGCAGTGCTGGAAAAAATGTGGCCGCACAAAATATTGACACTTTGGGTCCAATTTGGACATTTAGGGGTGTACTTACTTTTGTTGCCAGCAGTTTAGACATTATTGGCTGTGTGTTGAGTTATTTTGAAGGGACAGCAAATTTACACTGTTACACAAGCTGTACACTCACTAATTTACATTGTAGCAATGTGTCATTTCTTCAGTGTTGTCACATGAAAAGATATAATAAAAATATTTACAAAAATGTGAGGGGTGTACTCACTTCTGTGAGATACTGTAAGTAGTCTAATCCATCTTTGCTCGAAAATATAAAAAAAAAGTTTCCTCAGGTTATGCTCTAAGAGAGAAGCAGAGTTATTACAATAATCCACTGAGAGCTCCTAGTATGTACATTTTTTCCCGTTTCCAGATAACAAGGCTAGCAAAACACTGTCATGCATTTAAAAGGGCATATATTCAAAAGATAAATCAATAATTCTACCCCTTTACAAAACACTGGTTCAGGCTCACCTTAAATACGCAGTTCAGTTTTGGTCACCAAACCTCAGGAAAGGCATTATTGAATTAGAAGGAGTTCAGAGGTGGGCAACAAAATGAATAAGGGAGATGGATCACTTCAGCTATGAAGATTAATTACATAAATTTCAATTATTCAAGGCACTTAACTGGGGATATGATAACAATACAAAAATATATCAAAGATGACTTCAGTAACTATAAAAACTGTTTACTCTAAGGCCCCTGAAAAGAACACATAGCCACAACTTAAGATTCAAAGAAAGGACCTTACATTGCAGAGAGGGTTTTTACTGTTAGAGCAGTAAAAATGTGGAACTCCCTTCCCCAGCTGAGAGTATCAACAACTTCAAAAAACATTCAGGTGTATTCCTCAGGAAGCAGAATATATAGGGCTATGGGAAGTGTTAGATGATAAAATCACACACGCATACATACACATAGGTTAAACTGGATCACTCTGTATCTTTTTTAAATCTTATAAACAAAGCAACTATGTAACATTAAATATGCTGCTAAGGTCTGGGTAATAACCAAACCAATTCAATAATAAACTCAGCGGATGCCAAAAACAGCTTATACAATTAATTTACAAAAAAGGGAAAAGAAAGTAAATAAAGGGAGGCTGCTTTAGCTGAATCCCCATTCATCTACAGGGGCATAGAATAAAAGTTTTACCCTGTATGTGATTAGATGATTGAAGCAAATATAGCTTTCCTTTTCTACTTTTCTACTTTTTAATTACTTTAATAAATCAGTGAAAGGTCTGGTATGGATTTTGAGGGGAACCCCCATGCTAAAAATGGTCCACCCAAAATTCATGCCAGATCCTTATCTAAGCATGGTCAGGAAAGGGGGGGGGGGGGGGGGGAGCGAGCGTCTTCCTCCTGAACCATACCAGACCACATGCCCTCACATGCCCCCAGCATCACAAGGAGGCATGGTCACTTGCTGACATCACTGGATGCCCCCGCCCCTTAATCATGTAAGAACTGTCAGGCAGCAGAGCTGTCAGATAGCGGAAGCCTTTGCCAGGAGCAGAGCTTTTTTTTTCGAGTTGGTGTTGGTGGCTGGCATCATAATTGACGATGGGGGACATTTTTAATTTTTGTTTTTGTAATAAAGAACTTGTCAAAACTGCTTCCTGTGTTTTTTAACACTACACTTTTATTTTTGGTGAATAAGTAGTTGTACCATGTACCCCATGCTCATTCACACAGGGGGCCGGGATCTGGGGGCCCACTTGTTAAAGGGGGCTTCCAGATTCCGATAAGCCCCCCACCTGCAGAGGCTCTTGTTCCCATCAACCTGGGAACAAGGTTCCTTGGGGGGACAGAGCCCCCTCTGCCCCAAAGCACCCCCCCTTGTTGAGGGCATGTGGCCTGGTATGCCTCAGGAGGGGAGCACTGTCTTATCCCCCACATATCTGACCTGCCGGGCTGCATGCTCGTATAAGTGTCTGGTATGGATTTTGGGGGGGACTCCACGCCATTTTTTTGTATTTTGGTGTGGGATTCCCCTCAAAATCCATACCAGACCAGAAGAGCTTGGTATGGATGGGGGGGCTCACTTTGTTTTTTTTTTTCTTAATTTTTAATTGCCGGCAATTCTTTTTTACATTCAGCTGATAACTCATCAGTTGTTAAGGACGTGGCAGCAGCCCACTCCTTAACAACCATAACAGTTACTGGTTGTTAAGGATGCCGGCAGCCGCTTGCTCCTTAACAACCAGTACATACCACATACCTCAATCATTACTTAATTACCGCATGAATTTAATAATTATTTCCTTCTGTGAAGAGGTATTTTTTATGTGGTATTAACCAAGTATTTTTGCTATTTGCGGTAAATACCACATACTAGCTGTAGTGAATTTACATGTTCAATATTGCATGCAAATAATTAGTTTATAACCAAAAATTATAATTTTTTTACATTTTTTTTTACATTTTTATATAACTTTTTATTATTATTATTTATGTTTTTTTAACATACTGTCACCCTAACAGTACCATAGTGACACTGTACTACTTGTGGGGGGGGAAGAAGATTTTTTTTACACTGATAAAGGCTGTAAAAGCAATAATTTCTCCTTCTCTCTGGCTGCATTCTTGCAGCCATTGAAAAATACTGTGAGAGCTGTGATTGGTCACAGCTTGTCACATGGTACCAGGCTGTTATGAATAGCCTTGTACCATGTGACCTCTGTTATCATTCACAGATTTCACAAGTAGTAAGCAATGATATCAGCAAGTGACAACTTGCTACTATTCATGTGATCACTGATTGGCCAATCAGTGATCACAGGATCGGGACCTCAACCAGAGGTCCCGTACAACGATCGGCAGGCAACAGATCGCGGTACCAAGCGTTCCCAGGGAACGTGCACAGGCAGGGAATGCGGGAGGATGTTTATAAACGGCCAGCCGCTCCTGCACTGCTCCCATCTGTACATTATGTACATGGGCCGGATGGGAAGTGGTTAAGAAATAAATCAACAGTAACTTTTATAAAATGTTTCTGTAAACTGGTCCTTTCAGCTTGTAGTTTAGACTATATGATTATGTGTTTTGTGCCCATCTGAACATCAGCTTTTACTTGTATGTAAAAAACTGACTTTTATTTAATGACTTATATATTCTATTTTGGAATTCAAGATTCTTATCCAATTAAAGGTCTCAAAAATCATATGCCTATGCTTGCTTTTTTGTCTTTTGTACTCTCATTTTCTAAATGTAAAAACTCGCACAACTGGCAAATTGCTTGATCTTTCTTTATATTTAACTTTTATTTTTGTTAGTATTATTCTGTATCCAATTGCTCATTTGTTCTGTTGTATTTATATTATTTATTTACATTTTCAAATGTCTTGTAGCTAGAAAGTAAGACATTTATTTATTATTTCTCTTTATTTTAGTTATTATTCTCTATGGCAAGGTTTTCACTGATTTATAAAAGGGTAACTCTACTTTCATGGGAAAAAAAGGTTAGCAAACAAAAAAAAAATATAGTGTATACAGTTGTGACACAAGTCATGTTGTAGTTGAATGTTATTAAACATTACCTTCCCTTTTTAATCTGCAGTGCTGTAATTTTCTGAAATATTTAATATGGCTACCTGGAGGTATTTTGTATACAATTAGTGTACAGAACGCCCCCCAGAAATTTAATTTCCTCCTTGTGTGATTGGCTTACTGATTTTCCCAGCAGTGTGCACTAAGATACAAATCAGATGTTGATCATCCCCTGCAATAAAAATATAATTTTTAATTAAATACTTCCAAAAGGAAATCACATCTAAAGGGATGCAGACCCTGCAATTTTCCCCATTAGAACCCTGCAGGTGCAGCAACTGATTGATCATTATAAAAATCACTCTCATACAGATTCAATCTGCCATTGGACACAGATAAACAAACAGCTAATTCTTCAGAATAACAAAAAGAAGGAATCTGCAACAAAATGTGTTAAAATCCTTGCAATGTACAATACATTGCCAAACGTATTGAGACACCCCTTGAAATCATTGGATTCAGGTGTTCCAGTCATCTCCATGGCCACAGGTGTATAAAATCAAGCACCTAGGCATGTAGACTGCTTCTATAAACATTTGTGAAAGAATGGGATGCTCTCAGGAGCGCAGTGAATTCAAGCGTGGTACAGTGATAGGTTGCCACCTGTGCAATAAGTCCATCCATGAAAATTATAACAAAGTGGAAGCAACTGGGAACAACAGTCACATAAAATGACAGAACGGGGTCAGCGCATGCTGTAAAGCACAGCACGCAGAAGTTGCCAACTGTCTGCAGAGTCAATACCTTTTGACCTCCACACTTTCTATGGCCTTCAGATTAGTACAACAACAGTGCATAGAGAGCTTCATGAAATGGGTTTCCATGACTGAGCAGCTGCATCCAAGCCTTACATCATCAGTTTGGGGTGGAGGAACTTGACTGGCCTGCACAGAGTCCTGACCTCAACCCTATAGAACACCTTTGGAATGAATTAGATCAGAGACTGAGAGCCAGGCCTTCTTGTCCAACATCAGTGCCTGACCTCACAAATGTGCTTCTGGAAGAATGGTCAAACATTCCCATAGACACACTCCTAAACCTTGTGGACAGCCTTCCCAGAAAAGTTGAACACTATGGACTAAGACTGGGATGCCATTAAAGTTCATGTGTGTGTAAAGGCAAGCATCCAATACTTTTGGCAACATAGTGTAGATCACCCAGAGGGGAATGTTTTTTCTGAACAAAAGTGGAGCTACAACACTACTACCTTCTGTTTTTAAATAAGTTCTGTTCAAATAATTACCTGTGACTGCTACAAATCAACCAGTTAATATTTAATCAACTGCATCCACGTGTAATTTAAATGTGTTCTTTTTTTCTTTAATGGCACTCCAGTGCCGCACAAAGCCCCCTTCCCTGACAGAAGAGTGACCATAAAGACCACTGACCTCTGTGTGAGAGCAACAGGGTGATGCAGAGTGTCACCCACTACTATCTAATAAGCAATTCTCATGCTCCCTACTGAGTGGAGATTAGTGTTTGTGACCATGCAGGGGGTGTTTCTGACCACTGGAGATAACTGGGTGAGAGCAACAGTCTTTAACGTGCAGCAGGGTAGGGGTGTTTGGTGTGGCGATGATGTGCTAGTAAAAAAAAAAAAAAAGTAAAAACTTTGAATACTTAACTTTTCTTATACACCCTCAGTTTGTCTTAAGGAAACTACAACTGAGTTTCGATGAACATATTTTAAACAACTATAAGTGGCTTTTCATATATTATTAAACTTATTATAACAACAGTAAAGATGACTAGTGCTCAAGATACACTATGTTGCCAAAAGTATTGGGACACCTGCCTTTACACGCACATGAATTTTATGACATCCTAGTCTTAGTCCGTAGGGTTCAATATTGAGTTGGCCCACCCTTTGCAGCTATACCAGCTTCAACTCTTCTGGGAAGGCTAATATTAACTTTATTTTCATGTAAAGAGCTAAACAAATGTTCTATAAAACTCAGTTTTGTCAAAATTTTGTACATTGTTCTTGTGTTCAGTGAAATATTGATTAAAATATTACTTTTCAAAAGGAGTGTACTCATTTATGCTGAGCACTGTATATACAATATACTGTATACTGTATATAGCTATATATAGCTATATATATGTATATCTCTATAACTACCTATATATTCTGTATATATATAGATATGCTATATTGCTAAAAGTATTGGGGAGCCTACCTTTTCACACTAATGAACTTTAATGGCATCCCAGTCTTAGTCCGTATGGTTCAATCTTGAGTTGGCCCACCCTTTGCAGCTATAACAGCTTCATCTCTTCTGGGAAGGCTGTCCACAAGGTTTAGGAGTGTGTCTATGGGAATGTTTGACCATTCTTTCAGAAGCGCATTTGTGAGGTCAGGCACTGATGTCAGACGAGAATGTCTGGCTCGCAGTCTCCGCTCTAATTCATCCCAAAGGTGTTCTATCGGGTTGAGGTCAGGACTCTGTGCAGGCCAGTCAAGTTCCTCCACCCCAAACTCGCTCATCCATGTCTTTATGGACCTTGCTTTGTGCACTTGTGTGCAGTCATGTTGGAACAGGAAGGGGCCATCCCCAAAGTGTTCCAACAAAGTTGGGAGCATGAAATTTTCCAAAATATCTTGGTATGCTGAAGCCTTAAGAGTTCCCTTCACTTGAATAAGGGGTCAAGCTCAACCCCTGAAAAACAACCTCACACCTTTACCACCCTCCACCAAACTTTACATTTGGCACAATGCAGTCAGGCAAGTACCGTTATTCTGGCAACCTCCAAACCCAGACACATCGATCAGATTGGCAGACAGAGAAGTGTGATTCATCATTCCAGAGAACATGTCTACACTGCTCTAGAGCAGGGGCGGACTGACAACTCATGGGGCCCCGGGCAATAGGGGATCATGGGGCCCCTGTGTCCTTGCCCAAACTCAAAAAAGCCTATGAAAAAAGTACCAGGGGCATCTCATGGGGCCCCCTACTGACTCCAGGCCCTCAGGCAGTGCCCGAGTTTCCAAAGGGTCAGTCCGCCCCTGCTCTAGAGTCCAGTGGAAGAGTACTATACACCCCTTCATCCGACGCTTTGCATTACACTAGGTGATTTAAGGCTTGGATGCAGCTGCTTGGTCATGGAAACCCATTCCATGGAGCTCTCTACGCACTGTTCTTGTGCAAATCTGCAGGCCACATGACATTTGGAGGTCTTTAGTTATTGACTCTGCAGATAGTTGGGGGTTTATTTACTAAACCTGGTTGACTCAGAATCTTGGGCACCTGTGCATGGTAGCCAATCAGCTTCTAACCTCAGCATGTTCAGTTAAGCTTCAGCAATAAAACCTGGAAGCTGATTGATTTTTATGCAGAAGTGGACAAGATTCTGAGTCAACCAGGTTTAGTAAATAAACCCTTGATGACTTCTGTGCACTGTGCGCTTCAGCATGCGCTATCATTTTACGTGGCTTACCACTTCGTGGCTGAGTTGCTGTTGTTCCCAGTTGCTTCCACTTTGTTTTAATACCACTAAAGGTTGGTCGTGGAATATTTAGTAGCAAGAAAATTTCAAAGATGGACTTATTGCACACCTACCAACCTATTATGGTACCAGGCTTGAATTTACTGAGCTCCTGAAAGTGACCCATTCTTTCACAAATGTTTGTTGAAGCAGTCTGTATACTTAGGTGCTTGATTTTATACACCTGTGGCCATGGAGGTGTTTGGAACCCCTGAATCCAAAGATTTGGAGGGGTGTCCCAATACTTTTGGCAATATAGTATATATATATACTGTATACAGTATATATGTACAGTATATATATATTTTAAGTCATGGTGTCAGGTAATGCACCACTTCGGCCAGACAATTGTTGCAATTACAAATGTTTAGGCTTTCTCATGTTTATTGGTATGACACAAAAAAGTGCAGAGACAAAAAGCCAAATCTGACACATTCCAGGCAAAACTCCAAAAATAGACTGGACAAAATGATTGGCACCCTCAATATAATATTTTTAGCACACCCCTTGGAAACAATAGCTGAAATCAATTGCTTCCTGTAACAATCAATTCATTTCTTACACCTCTCTACTGGAAGTTTGGACCACTCTTATTTCACCAACTGTTCTAGGTCTCTCAGATTGGAAGCATTTCTTTACCCAACTGCTGTTTTGAGATCTCTCCACAGGTGCTCTATGAGATTGAGATCTGGACTCATTGCTGGTCAGCTAAGTGCTCTCCAGAGTTTTGTCTTAAATCATTTTCGGATGTTTTTTTATTTTTGACATGTGCTTTGGGTCATTATCCTGCTTAAAGACCCATGACCTCTGTTGGAGACCTAACTTTCTGGCACTGGGCCCTACATTGCACCCCAGAATTCTTTGGTAGTCTTCAGATTTCATAATGCCATGCACATGGCCAAGACATCCAGTGCCTGAAGCAACAAAGCAAACCCAAAACGTCAGTGAAACTCCACCATGTTTGACTGTAGGAACTGTATTCCTTTCTTTATAGGCCTCATTGCTTTTTCTGAAAACAGTAGAATGATGGGCTTTACCAAAAAGCTGTAATTTTGTTTCGTCTGTCCAGAGCACATTCTCCCAAAGGGATTTTGGCTTCCTCGGGTGAGTTTTGACAAACTCAAATCTGGCTATTTTATGTTTCTATGTCAGCAGTGGGGTCCTACTGGGTCTCCTACTATAGCTTCCCTGTCAGGGATGCAGGCATCCAGCAAAGATAATTAGATCAGTTGGCTGTACCAAAAGGAATCAGGGATCAGACTGAGGTAAAGTTAAAATAAGTTTATTAAGACAAATGACATACTTCCAACACCAACATCAACATCAACACCAACACCAACATCAACACCAACACCAGTAAACCATAAACAATGCAAGGTAAAAAATAAACATGATAGTGCAAACCCCAAATAACAACCTAACAACTATATACAAAATGGAGGAAACACAGGATAAGGTCAGAACAGGGACAGGAGATAAGAGAAACAGAGAGCCAGGTACTAGGAGCAGGAAGCAGGATACAGGGAGCAGGTCATGGATGCATTCCAACAACTGTTCCCTACTTTGCCCTTTCAAAATTTGGTGGAAATATTCCCTGTTCTCTGTTACAAGCAATGCATAGTACAAAACCCCCCTCTTACTGCATCTTGCAGCACTTATGCAGGCCATAAATGGGTCAAATTCCGAACAAATTTTCCTTAGAAAATCGGACATTTTGTGCATTTTGTAATCCGCTGGTACCACCATTGATTTCGCAATTTAACCACCCAAGCTTTTAATTTCACCTCAAGTTGCTACAGAAAATAATTTTCATGGCCTAGAATTTTCTTTTCTTTCCAGGTCACAGCTCATGCTCATTTCTTTTTTTATTACATTTCTTGCAGGATTCTCCCCTCATTGATTCGAAATTTGTTTGTTTTTCAAAACATTTCCAACATGCCCCATCACTCAAATTTGATGGTCGCACGAAAATCGGTCATTGCTGTGG